TTGAAGTAAGTTTCGGCGTTGACACTTTCGCGAGGATTTTCGTCATCCATCGTGATGGGCACGGAGCAGTATGGGAGTGGTCCTGCTTCCTCGGATGCGTTGTCCACGTTTTGCTCATCCCAGTTAGCTTCGTCTACTGCTGAGGCGAAGGCTCGGTTGCCACAGAAGCCGCCCGTGAGGTCTCGATTTGCTGCCAGGTTGTCCAGGTACGTTTGAAGTGTGAGTCGCTCGTAGAAGATGACATCACGTGCTGCTACTGTTTCCTTCGAGTGGACGTAAAAAATATTCCATGCGTTGTAATGCTTTTCGATGCCCAGGTGTAGTCCCCACTGTGCGCGTTGAGAAATCTTTCGGCTCTTGCAGTGTGCGGGCGGTACTGTACCATGCACCCGAAAAATCGTAACATTTTTGTGTTGCCCAGCTTTCCTGTCCACAGCAGGTGCGGTGATGCGTTGTTCGGAAGTGATGACGACGAGAGCAAGTTGTGCAGCATGACAGCGTGGTCCATCGCCTCAGGCCACTGGTGATTGGGCAGTCGCATGCCACGCAACAATTTGCGCATGGTGTTCTGGAGAGTTCTGTTCATCCGTTCTGCCACGCCTTGCTGTTGATGGGCGTAGGGAAGTGAGATGAGGCGCTTGATGCCTCGTTCTGCGAGGTACTGCCTGAACCTCTGGGACTGATATTCCCCTCCTCCGTCTGACTGGAAGCTTTTCAGCTTTGCTCCTGATTCTCGTTCTGCCACAGGTAGCCAGGCGATGAAGGCTTCGAAGGCCATGTCGCGACTTGGGAGATTAAGGTGCCAGACGTAACGGGTGGCGGCGTCGATGAAAGTAATCATGTAATTATATGCTCCTTGTCCTTGTTCGCGAGTATACAGGATGTCGGTGTATACTTTCTCGAGTGGTGCATAGGCTGGCACGCTTGGATTGTGGTGAGAGGTGAACGGTTGATGTGGTAAGTCGGCTTCGGGACAGGTAAAGCATGTTCCGCGGACTCGTTGGAGTTCTCTGCCGTCGGGTAGAAGGAGTGAATCTTTGTCGAGTACTGCTGCCTTGATTGTATTATTTAACGTGGTGTTGCTTGGGTGACCCAGTCGTTCGTGCCACAGGGATTCGCTTGCTCGATGTCCGGGTGAGCACCTATACAGGTCGGAGTTGGAGTAAAAGGCGGCGGTGAAGTTGGCGCTTCTGTGAACTTCTCATGGAGTGTTAGTGTCAAACTTATATATATATGCTATAGTCTATTTAGGCTGTAGTGGGGAAGTTCTTAGAGGGTACAACACTTTTGTGTTTCATACTTGTACCCACCTGCTTTCTAGTTCAGTCATTCATTCGTTCTCATTTTAACATGGTATTCTGAGCAGGTTCCCTAGTGGGAACGTCTTTCCTTGGGCCCACCACGAATTTTTGTTTTTCCTACCCGAAGCGCGCCTCGCGCCTGTTTCACCTGCGCCGTCGCACGCCCTGCCTTAGCGGCCCGTCGTGGCCTTGCCTTAGAGGCCCGCCCCGGCCCCGCCCTAGAGGCCCGTCGCGGCCCGTTCCTAGAGGCCCGTCGCGGCCCCGCCCTAGAGGCCCGCTGCCGCCCGTAGCTGGCCCGCTGCCGCCCCTAGCCGGCCCGCTGCCGCCCGTAGCCGGCCCGCTGCCGCCCGTCTCCGGCCCGCTGCCGTCTGTCGCCGGCCCACTGCCGCCCGTTTCCGGCCCGCTGCTGCCCGTCGCCGGCCCGTCGCTGGCCCGCTGCCGCCCGTCGCCAGCCCGTTGCCGCCCATTGCTGGCCTGTCGCGGCCCTGCCTGCACCACCAGTAGCGGCCCTGCCCCCCGTTGCCGCCCCAGTTGCGGGCCTGTGTGCACCCTCCCCTGGTAAGCCGAGCCGCGCCACCCAGCCGAGCCGCGCCGCCCAGCCGAGCCGCGCCGCCCAACCGAGCCGCGCCGCCCCACCGTGTCGCCCTGCCCTACCAAGCCGCACTGCTGTGCACTGCCCCACTGTCCCTGCTGCTACTGCTGCTTTTGCTGCTACTCTTGCTACTGCTTCTACTGCTGCTATGGCTAGTCCTACCGTTCTTACCTTTGACGTTGAGGGACGTGCTGTTGACTTTGACGTGTGGGTAGACGACCTCCAGCTCTTTCTTGAGTGTGATTCTAGGGATGGGGTGTCCCTTTTTTATCACACGTCCAGTGTTTCTACTGCTCCTACTGCCACTGCTGACAGTACAGTTTGCTCGCAGTGGACCACTCGTGACGCTGTTGCTCGTCTTGCTGTTCGTAGTCACCTGCCGCCTGCTGAGCGCGCGCATTTTGGCCAGTACAAGACTGCTCAGTCTTTGTACGATGATGTAGTTGCGCGCTACTCCTCCCCTGCCACTGCTTCCCTCAGCCGCCTCATGCTGCCGTACCTTTTCCCTGACCTTGCTGCCTTTGCCACAGTCGCTGACCTAGTTGCTCACCTTCGCACTAGTGACACCCGCTACCGCGCTGCCCTTCCCACTAAGTTCTGTGCCAAGAACCCCCCCCCATGTACATCACCCTTTACTACCTAGTCACCCGCCTCCCTGACTCACTCTCTTCAGTCAGGGACCACTTTCTCTCCCTTTGCCCCACCGAGCTGACTGTCGACCTGCTAGAGGAGTGCCTTACTGCAGCTGAGAAGAGTATCTTAGCTGTAGGTGCTTCTCGCGGCGACCGTCGGACCCCTTTCTTTGAGGGGTGTTCCCCTGTCCCCCTTCTCCCCTCGGTTGCTTCTGCTGCTGCTGTCGACCTCGTTGGCAGTGAGGAGGTTGGAGCTGCGTCTGCCCCTAGTGGGAGACGCCGCAACAGCAGGGGCAAGGGGAGCAGGGGTGGTGGAGGGGGCGGCGGGGGGGGTGGTGGAGGAGGTGGAGGAGGCGGAGGGGGTGGCGGTGGAGGTGTGGGTGGTACCGGGAGTGGGGGCTTCAGTGGCGGCGGTGGAGGTGGTGGAGGCAGCGGCGGAGGTGGTGGAGGTGGCGGCGGTGGTGGTGCTGGTCGAGATGGAGCCACGCAGCGTGGAGGCTTTGGTGGTAGCCAGCGCCAGCAGCAGCCGCGCTCCCGTGAGACTCCGTCGGTCCAGCAGCTTCGTGAGTGGTACACTGGGCGTGGGAGGTCTGGGGGTGCTGGTCCCTGCGCTTACGTTCTTTGCTCCCGCACTCGTAGTGGGGAGGTGTGTGGACTCCCACACACTACGCAGCGCTACTTTGGTCGCCTGACTGACGCCTGGCGTGCCCAGTTTCCTGACGCCGTTGAGCTCCCTCGCTGGCATGATCTGCTTCTGCAGAATGTGCCTATCTTTGATCTTGATTTCGATGCTATCCTTGCTGCCATCTATGCCATTGCTGATAGTGCTGAGGGTGACTGTTACCTGCGCGTCCCGCCCGACCCGGGCATTGCGGCTGCTGCTCTAGGTGCTAGTGCGGCTGCTGCTCTAGGTGCTAGTGCGTCTGCTGCTCCAGGTGCTGGTGCGTCCCCTCTCTCTGGTACTGCACCTACTGAGTCCTTGCACACTTTCACACTTGACTCTGGTGCTTCGCACTCTTTCTTTAGAGACAGCACCACGCTCACGCCGCTCAGTCGGCCTGTTGCAGTCTCCCTTGCTGACCCCTCCGGGGGCCCAGTCCTTGCACACTCCTCCACGGTTCTACCGTGTCCTGCGGCCCCGTCGGGCTTGCTGTCGGGACTCCACCTCCCCTCGTTCTCTACGAACTTGGTGAGTGGATCTGACCTCCAGGACGCGTGGGTTGACCAGTTCACCCTTGGAGGTCAGCGTGTGACCCACTGCACTTGCTCTCGGACGGGCCGCCACCTGGCCACGTTCACCCGTCGGCCAGGGTCGAGTCTGTACACACTGACTACTGCGCCTCCTCCGGTCCCTGCGTCTGGTCAGGTAGCTGCGTCCAGTCAGGTGTTTGCTGCCGCGTCCAGGTCTAGTCCTGCGTCTGCCCCCTGCTCGTGTCGTCCTCTGGCGCACGAGACTCTCCTTTGGCACCACCGCCTTGGTCACCCCTCCCTGCCTCGTCTTCGAGGTATGGCCTCCCGTGCTCTTGTCTCTGGACTCCCCAGGTCCCTCCCTCCCCTTCCTCCGGGGCCTGCCCCCACCTGTGTTCCTTGTGTCGAGGGCCGGCAGCGCGCCGCTCCTCACTCCTCCTCGTTTCCTCCGACTGAGGCCCCTCTGCAGACTCTTCACATGGACGTGTGGGGCCCAGCCCGCGCCCGTGGACAGGGTCACGAGCGTTACTTCCTGCTGAACGTTGACGACTACTCGCGTTACACCACAGTCTTCCCCTTGCGCAGCAAGGGTGAGGTCCCTGAGGTGTTGATCGACTGGATCCGCGGTGCTCGTCGCCAGCTTAGTGAGAGTTTCGGCTCAGACCTTCCTGTTCTGCGTCTGCACTCAGACAGAGGTGGGGAGTTTTCCTCCGACCTCCTGAGAGCCTTCTGTCGTTCTGAGGGCATCCGCCAGACATTCACGCTTCCGGCCTCCCCGCAGCAAAATGGGATTGCTGAGCGCCGCATTGGCATGGTCATGGACGTCGCTCGTACGTCCATCATCCATGCGGCTGCTCCCCATTTTCTGTGGCCGTTCGCGGTTCAGTACGCTACGCATCAGATCAACCTTCAGCCTCGTGTCTCCTTGCCGGAGACCACACCTACTCTACGGTCGACAGGGAAGGTTGGCGATGCGTCCGCGTTCCGCGTCTGGGGATCTCGAGCTTTTGTATGCAATACTACAGCGGACAAGCTGTCCTCCCGTGCCATTCCCTGTGTCTTCTTTGGCTTCCCTCCTGACGCACCCGTTTGGCAGTTCTGCCACCCCACCTCGCGTCGTGTACTGTCCTCTCAGGACGTCACGTTTGACGAGTCGGTGTCGTACTACCGTCTTTTTTCCCTACCGCACTGCCTCTCCCCACCCCCCCGCCGCTCTTCCTCGCACCAGGTACTCCCCCGGTAGACCCCCTCCCCCCACAGGGTCCTGCCCCCTCAGGTGTATCCCAGGTAGACCCTGCCGAGCCGGTCGAGGTAGCTGTCGACTCAGGTGCTGAGTCTGGGGGTGCTGAGTCTGGGCATGCTGAGCCTAGGGGTGCTGAGCTTGGGCGTGTGGCGACTGAGGGTGCTGTGTCTGGAGGTACTGAGCCTGCGCGTGCTGCGTCCGGAGGTGCTCTCGGTGTCCCGCCGCGGCGGGAGCCTCTCTCTCCACAGCAGCTTCGTGAGTGGTTCTCTCGGTGCTGTCGAGGTGCTGCTGGAGCTTCTGGAGGTGCTGCTGGAGCTTCTGGAGGTGCTGCTGGTGCTGGTGCTGCTGGTGGTGCTACTGGTGCTGGGGGTGCTGCTGGTGCTTCTGGTGGTGCTGCTAGAGCTGGAGGTACTGCTGGAGGTGCTGCTGGTGCTGGAGGTGCTGCTGGAGGTGCTGCTGGTGCTGGCGGTGCTGCTGGAGCTTCTGGAGGTGCTGCTGGTGCTGGTGCTGCTGGAGGTGCTGCTGGTGCTGGTGCTGCTGGAGGTGCTGCTGGTGCTGCTGGAGGTGCTGCTGGTGCTGGAGGTTCTGCTGGTGCTGAAGCTCCTGGACGTGCTGCTGTTTCTGGAGGCGCTGCGCGGCCGCGGCCGTACTTCGTTCCGCTTCTTCAGCAGGTTCTTGGCTCCCCGCCTTCTCCTGGTCCTCCTCCTCCTCCTACCCTGAGTCCACCGCCTGTCCCGTCTTAGTCGCAGTTACAGCCGGCCTCTCCACTGCCTGGTCCTTCTCCTTACTCTGGACCGACTAGAGGTCTTACGGAGCGTCGTGAGCCTGAGTCGCGTCCAGTGTCGCCTGTGTCTCGTTCTACGTCGCCTGTCCGTTCTGTTCGCGCTGGTCGTGTTTCGCGTCCGCGTCCTCCTCATGTCCACTCTATGACTCTGCGTCCTTCTACTGCTCCGCAGCGTGTCCCTCTGCCGTCTCCTCCTGTGTCCTCTCTTCCTGACGGTCCTGACCCGGAGTCAGACTCCCTTCGTGCTGCTAGTCCTACTGTCATGCGCTTTCTGGCCACTGCTGTCACTGACCATCTGTTTGAGTCCTCTGTTGCGTCTGCTCTTGTTGCTGAGCTTGTTGACTTTGCTGCCGCCTGTCGCCTAGACTACGCCACTAGTCTTGTTGCTGATTCTGCGTCTGTGTCTGTCTGTCCTCCGTCCGTCGGGGGTGAGTGTGCTCTTGGCACGGACGTTCTTGAGGACAGACAGGAGGAGTTTGAGTGCTTTGCTGCTTCTGTACCTCATCTCGTGTCCATGCTGCTGACCCCTGAGGGAGACCCGGATGCACTAGACATCCCGACCCCACGCTCTTACGCAGAGACGATAGAGGGTCCCTACTCCTCTCAGTGGCAGGCAGCCATGGACGCAGAGATGGCTTCCTGGAAGTCCACAGGCATCTACGTAGACGAGGTTCCCCCACCTGGGGCAAACATTGTCAGTGGCATGTGGATCTTCAGGGTGAAGCGGCCGTCGGGTTCTCCGCCTGCATTCAAGGCGCGTTACGTTGCACGTGGCTTCAGTCAGCGACAGGGAGTTGACTTCTTTCAGACCTTCTCCCCTACCCCGAAGATGACCACTCTTCGGGTACTGCTGCACGTTGCTGCTCAGCGTGACTACGAGCTCCACTCGCTTGACTTCAGCACAGCCTTCCTGCAGGGCAGCCTGCACGAGGAGATCTGGCTGCGCCGCCCACCTGGCTTCACTGGGTCGTTTCCTGCTGGTACCCAGTGGAGCCTCCGGCGGCCAGTCTACGGTCTCCGCCAGGCACCCCGTAAGTGGCACGACACACTAAGGACGACTCTTGCTTCTCTTGGTTTTGCTCCTTCCACTGCTGACCCTTCTCTGTTTCTACGCACGGACACTACTCTACCGCCATTCTACGTTCTCGTGTACGTAGACGACCTCGTCTTTGCTACTGCTGACACTGAGGCACTCGCCCACGTGAAGTCCGAGCTGCAGAAGAGACACACGTGCACAGACCTGGGTGAACTGACAAGCTATCTTGGCTTGCGGATCACCCGGGACAGAGCACAGTGCACCATTACCTTGACTCAGTCACACATGGTGCAGCAGGTCCTTCAGCGCTTCGGCTTCACGTACTCCTCGCCACAGTCCACTCCTCTGCCTACCGGTCACTCGCTCTCAGCTCCACCTTCGGACGAGTCGGTAGAGCCGAATAGCCCGTATCCAGAGCTTGTGGGCTGCCTCATGTACCTGATGACTTGCACACGACCTGACCTCGCATACCCTCTCAGCCTTCTGGCTCGCTACGTGGCTCCCGGCAGGCACCGAAAGGTGCACTGGGATGCTGCGAAGAGGGTGTTGCGATACTTGTGCAGTACATCGGGCATGGGGCTCGTGCTTGGAGGACGGGCTCGAGTTGTCCTCACTGGTCACGCTGACGCCTCCTGGGTTGACGACTTGGCTACGCAGCAGTCGTCACAGGGTTACACCTTCAGTCTTGGCTCCGGTTCTGTCTCTTGGCGGTCTACCCGCTCTTCTTCTGTTCTCAGCTCCAGTTGTGAGGCTGAGATCTACGCTGGGGCCATGGCTGCACAGGAGCTACGCTGGCTCACCTACCTGCTGACCGACTTGGGAGAGGCGCCTCGTTCTCCTCCAGTTCTGTACGTCGACAACAAGGCCATGCTGGCCTTGTGTCAGGAGCACAGACTGGAGCACAGAACGAAGCACATTGCTCTGCGCTACTTCCTTGCTTGAGAGTTGCAGCAGCGTTGCCAGCTTCGTCTTGCTTACGTGGCCTCTCAGGCCAAGACTGCTGATGTTTTCACCAAGGCACTTCAGCCTTGTGATCATCAGCGTTTCTGTACTGTGTTAGGCCTTGTACCTACTGTGCCTCACTTGCTGACTTCTTGACTCTGCTTGTACTGTACTCTATATATATATACCTGCATGCTTATACTTGCTAGGTTGTGTTCACTGTATTGTTTGCTTTCCTTTATATAACTCTGCATGTGAACTGGCCTTGCGGCCCTTTGCTTGTGCTCAGACTGCCTGGTGACTTTGTGATCCACCCTGAGCTTGCTTTGTCTTTCTTGACTGGCCTTGTGGCCCCTTGCTCTCCCCCACTTTGCCTATGGGGGTGTGTCAAACTTATATATATATGCTATAGTCTGTTTAGGCTGTAGTGGGGAAGTTCTTAGAGGGTACAACACTTTTGTGTTTCATACTTGTACCCACCTGCTTTCTAGTTCAGTCATTCATTAGTTCTCATTCTAACAGTTAGTTAACTGCGGCGCAGGAGTCGGTGGAGTGTCGTCGATGAAGGTTGGTGTCGTTGAGGAGCTCGCGATTGGTTCTGTGAGTGTTGCTGTTGTTGCCAATGTTGTCTCTGCTGCCGTCGATGCTGTTTCTTCTTGCCGAATTGTTGCTAATGCCCGTGTTCTTTCTGCTTCAGGTATGGTATGTGAATACCAGAATCCTCTAGGGCTGAAGTCGGGATCGAGGTCCGGTGGGTGCGTCCAAGAGGCGAAGTTGACGATGGCGTCGCTATCGGCGGTTCCTTGATCTGGTACAAAATCGAGGGCGAAGACGTTATTCTTCAAGACTGCTCTGCCGATGTAGAGTCCTCCTTTACCGTGTAATAGTTTGAACTCCTGAGTGGTGCTGTCTGCTTCAAGATGAATACCCTTCGCCATCAGTTGGCTGACGCTCAGTAAGTTGTAGCCGAGTCCTTCTGCAATAAGGACTTTAGACATTTGTAGGATGATGTTGGTTTCTCGGGACTGAAGTTGTACTACTCCTTGTCGTCGTGTGTGCAGGTTTTGGTTGTTGGCCACAGTGATGACGACTTCGCGCTGAAGTTCATGTTCTTGTTGAACGAAACGACTTGAAGAGCACATATGTTGTGCATAGCAACTGTCCAAGAACCAAGTGTCTTGCCCGGACGGTTCGCTTTGGGCGATAGCTGCATACGTCGGATTGGGCTCCAGTGATTCGCGGCGGGGAGTCCTTTCATCGAGTTGGTCTTCCGGTGAGTAGTGGGGTGGTGATCCGGTGATGCAGGAGTCTGTCGTTCCTGTCAAACAGCTAACGATGTTTCTTGTTCCTTGTGCAGATTGCGATGTTGAAGATGTTGTAGACTGCACTTGACTGGTAGGATGCGCCTGCGTAGAGGCTACTTGACTGCTTGAAGGCCGAAGTTGACGTTGCGGTGTTGTCGACTGCTGCTGATTTGGGCAGTGTGTGCGTGGATGACCGGACGTCTTACAAAGATGACAAAATGGTGGGACGTACTGTTGTACTTGTCGGTTCTTGTGTCGGTTGTTGTTGTTGTTGTAGCGTCGTTGAGTATGAAAGGCGAATTCCGGTGCTAACGCTTTCTTCTTATGTCGTTCTTCGTGCAGGTCCATATCCTGCTGTTCGGCGTGAATTTCGGCGCAGAGTGCTGCTTCAGAGATCTTCCCGTGAGCTCGAAGGAGTGCTCGAGTGGAGCGCCAATGAGGACCAAGACCGGCGATGATGACTGTTACAAATGCTTCTTCCGAAATTGACCCTCCGCATCGAAGGAGTCTGTCGCGCAGTCCGCGACAACGGCTAATATAAGCCATTCCCTTGTCGCCGGGTTTCATTTCCACTGTTGTCAACTGTGCCATGAGACGACTCTGGTTAACGCTGTCTGTTGCTTGATACAGGCTTTTCAGATGGTCGTATGCCAGTTCGGCGGAGTTGCCGTATCCTCGATAAGACCGGTTGTTCTGTTGCTCGTTTGGCGTTAAGTTTCAAAGAAGTATCGTATACGCCATCAGCGACTGATACGTATATTGCTGCTTGTCGTACTGTGTCCCATGTGCCGGATATGGCAGGGACCCGTCGAAGAATCCGAGGATTTGCGCGCCCTCCATCATCAGCTCAAATTCGAATGACCAGGTATAAAAATCTTTCCCGTCGAAGAGTGTTGATGTTTGCAATTTTAGGACGTGTGCGAATTGCGATTGCACCTGAAGCGCATCCAGTGTCTTCTCTTGTCCAGGTGAAGACTGCGGCTGCGGCGCGAAACTGACGGAGCCGCGTTGAGGCTCACACGGGGCAAAGGTAGGTTGTTGTTGATTTCCAGGCGCATAGGATGAACCGTCGAGGCTCATCGGAGTTGCTCTGTTGTTGTTGTCGCTGTTGTTTGATTGCGCAGGAGCTGCTTGCTGGTGTTGCTCGTAGAAGGACATGAAGGAGAAAAACTTCTCCATCATGTTTGGGTCGAAGCCTGCTTGTTGGTTCCCGGGAGTTTCCGTTGACTCTGCAGCTGGTCTTGTACCTTCTTCTATCTGTAGGCCGGAGACTGGAGGTGGAGTGGTGCCGAGAGATCCGTTGGAGGAGCTCCTCTCCTTTTGTGTAGCCATGACTTGTGTTGTAAAAATGTTTGAAAAAGGTGATCTTGTCCTGCCTGCTCTCATACCATGTTGGGCTGAGAAAAGCCCTTAGGATCTTTCAGGACTAAGATCAGGTGTAGAGATGTAATTGCGGAAGCGTTAATAAAAGGTTGCCTTGAACCACCTTGTACTGGTGTGTGAGAAATAGATAATTTGAATAATAGCAAAGAGATACATGCCTTTTATATGATTACAAGGAATATGAAAAGTTCTACTTTAACTGTTTTGCTGTTGCGGTTCGATACAGTGCCGACTCGGGTAACTGCTGAGTAACGAGTCAGTTATGTGTCCTTACTGTCGCACTGTACGTTTTGTCAAGTCAAAGGTAGGAGACCTTTGACCTTCGCGTAACCTCCGACGGTTGCCTTGGTTGACTCGAGTGCTTATTCGCTGTAGTCAGTTCCGTTTCGTGTCGAAGCTTCGATACGACAGAAGCGTTTAAATCACTTGTTTCCAACATTAGGTATTATCTTTTTGGGGCGGGAGTTTCATCTATGACCATTCGCGTGATTTTTCCCAGTTAATAATGACTCGTTACAACTGCAGCCGCTGAAAATAGCTGTTTTATCTACCAACGTTTTATCAAACAGGTGAAAACACCCCTTGCAAGGGTCTATGCCGCTACAACTGCAGCCGCTGCCACTACAGCCACTGCAGCAGCCGCCACAGCTACCGCATCTGCAACACCTGCCGCTCTAGCTTCTGCCGCTGCCGCTACAGCCACTGCAGCAGCCGCTACAGCTGCCGTAGCCACAGCTACTACCAGTACAGCCGCTGCAGCTGCCGCTACTGCTGCCGCAGCCGCCGCAACTGCCGCTACCGCTGCTGCCACTGCCAGTACAGCCGCTGCAGTTGCCACTACAGCTGCCACAGCCACCGCAACTGCCGCTACAGCTGCTGCCGCTGCCGCTACATCAACTACAGCAGCCACTACAGCTACTGCCGCTGATGCTACTGCCTGTGCTACCATTACAACAGCTACCGCTACTGCTATAGCTGTTGCTACCTCTGCCGCTGCACCTGCCTCAGCTGCCGCTACAGGCACCCGCTGCCGCTACAGCTGCCACTGTCGCTACCA